GGCCACTGCAGCGGAGATGGCACCAACCATTACAGGAGCCGCAACGTACAGAACAGTCGCGGCGGCCCAGGCGGACTTGACAGAGCGAGCAGTACCAAAGAGGCCCAGGGTTAGCCTCAATCCCGACGGCGAGTAGGAGTCGGAGCCGTGGCCGGGAGGGACTGCTCTGTGAGCATAAAGACGTTGGGAAGAAGGGAGATTGATCCAATGTAGGGAGCTTGGTTTTAGCGTCTAGCGACAGTTACCATAGGACACAACGTGCACAATTGGGATGAAAGAGAAAAATCACGCCAATGTAGACGCGAAGAATTTATCAAAAGCAGTGCTATCGGTTTTAGCCAAATTGTTGGAACGAAAGTACAGTAAAAGTCCCAGTTTTGGAGAAATTATTTTTCGGAGAATGGCTTTGCTAAAACCGATTCCGTTTATCCGTGCGGATGGGATTCAATATTCTAGTTTACCCCAGTAGGTCGATGTTCGTTGTAGCATTCCATCTGGGACTGATCACAACCATGAAGGCTAGGGGTGGGCTCGAACGCGGTTGCTGGTAAGGCCAAATAGCCTGCCTTCATCTACCACTCACGATCTGGTGCCCGTTTCATATGCATCGGGCTACAATAGTGGTTCGGATATAGCATCTGTGAATGCTATAAAGGCCAAACAAAGGACGAGCCATTAAAACCTTGCTCTCGGTTCCAAGGAAGACCTAGTCATCCGGTTAGTTAGCAATTTTACAAGCCACGATTGCTAACGCTAAGGCTTTAGTACAATTAATACAATGGTTTATAATGAAGATGGATTTCCCACTACTGATCATTCTTCTAACGATTACCCGAGCTTGTCAGTCGACCAATGATTAGCGGTGGCTCAGCGATTGAATTTGAGTGAAGGCATACGCTTAAGACATGACAGTTCAACCCTCTGGATGGTGTCCATCGTGTTTCCTACGGATTGGATGATGCAACCATGAATTAGTATACAGTGGAACTCATTTGTGCAGACTACAACACCCTCCCCCTGCTTACCAGCCTCTAATAAAAAACAGTGTCGAGAAAACCAGAAGTGGACTTGGACTCAGTGGCTGACAAATCTAAGTAGGCAGTCTACTCGACCTAGTCCCCGGCTTACTGCGACAGGACTGAAGGCGTTGACTCCGTCCCGGCTTGGAACGCGTCCCTCACTGTGTGTGGTATATTCTCAGTAACCCAGATATGTAAAATGCCAGCGATCGTGTGGTCAATTGAGCGATTCCCAGATCGATCATTTAAGCTTCTGATCCTCTTTCCTTATTTGCTTATCGTATTTTTGACAGTTCGCCCTGTGCATCGGTTTTAATAATCGCACAGAGTTTACCTTTCAGCCATATCAAGAGCCGACAGAAAACTCTATGGCGTACAGTTTCATCCGGAAGTTGATTTGACACCGTGTGGTTCCAAAATCCTGCATAATTTTCTATTTGACATCGCCGGTCTTCAAGCCGAATTTCAGATGCCTAACCGTATACAGGCATGTATAGACAATCTTCGAGAAAAAGTCGGTCAAAACAAAGTTCTGGTAAGTTGAAAACCGATTCATAAAAGTTAATTTAATATCAGGACAGTTCCAAAAAATCCTGCGATTTGTTTGTGCAAGTTTGTATACTAGCGCTTTGGTACAAGGAACTAGCTCCAAAGCCCCGCGTGGATGTGCAGTTCGCAAAATCATCGCTGCCGCATGAATTAGTTACTAACACAGCCATACCACTTAATAGGTACTTCAGTGTAGCTTTCACTGGGCGCTTTTCAAGTAGTTACCCCTCTTGACTTATTCTTATGACTGTTGTTTTAGCCGAAGTTTGTCTCCTCTTTTTCCTACATACAGTTTATTGTTTGCGTCGCTATTTGAAATTTCTTGTTAGTCGAAAGGGGCATTCGGGATTTCTGTCATTTACACAGCATAACCGAGAACTCTTAATACCTTCTTGCCTTTTAGCTTCTTCTCAGCGGTGGCGTGGATTCCACCGTTTGCGCAGCGCTCACATCCAGGGCACTGAACCCCGAACAGGTGGTTGCGGTTCATATCAATACTGGCTTTATGCGAAAGAATGAATCCGAGATGGTCGTCGCGGCATTACAGAAACTGAACGTCAATGGTACTGCCTTGTCATTCCATTCTTTGGTTACTTGTCACTTATCAAAACCCTGCATATGATTAGTTAAGGCCAAATATTTACAATAGCCTCAATGTGCAAGAGCGGTTTCTTTATTTCTGTTTACTTTACTTGTTGCGTGCACAATAGTAAACAGAATACAGTAAATAGAATACAATACACACAACACAACGACAGTAAACAATGGTAAACGTGTAAAGATGAAATCCAGTGTGCGGGAGTGGTTTCTTGCGTTCGGTTTCGCCTACCTCTGAAACCGATGTTTCATGTGAATATCCAACACCCCTCGGTAGTTTGGTACTGCAATTTGTTCCTGAATATCCTTGGTATCTACTCAGATTGGCAGGCTACCGTGGGTAGTGCGTGAGATTTTGATGACAAGATTTGTAGTCGCGGTCGGTCGTTGATCTTATTTGCAATTTTAAGACATCTTATGTCAGTCACCAACAGGTGCTAACTGGATAATGCTTTGGGTGGGTAATTAAATTACATAGCGACAAATAGAAACAAACCTTAATTGGCCCTACGACGTTTTGGACAACTTGAGTAATCGTAGAGCAATTTACCACTACTATTCAAATACTTGATAATAATTTACGCTTTGAGTTGACCCAAGTGTGAAAAACTCTAGGCGTTTGGCGGGATTTGAA